CGGCCCCTACAGATTGCCCGAGCCCGTCCGACGGACCACCGCCGGACGGGCTCGTGGTTTTTTGGGGCCGCGGGCTCCCGCCTTTGTCCCCAGGGCCCCAGTTGTCACCGGGGGCCGTTTCTCTACAGTTACCTGGATGCCGGCGGGTCACTTTGGGCGAACTTCGGTCGCCTCCCGCCGCGGCGCCACTCACCTCCGACTCTGCCCCTCCGGCGGACCGGGCCTAATTGAAAGGGACGGCCAGGCGGCCAACGGTCCCTCTAACACACGGAGTCCCCGGCATGTCGGTGGCATTGGAAATCGGCGCGATCAAGAACGGTCACACCGCGGCGGGCAATCGACACGACAAGCCCGCGGGGCCCGCCGATCTCGATGCGTCCAAACACCCCACCAGCGTGAGCAACGAACTATCCGCGGCTAAAGGTCTGTCCGCATCCGAAGACAAGCCTCCGGTGGATCTTGAAGCGATCAAGGGCGCCGTGCGAGCAATTTTGCAGGCGGTCGGCGAAGACCCCGACCGCGAGGGCCTGCTCGAAACGCCGCGGCGTGTTGCGAAGATGTACGCCGAGATGTTCGAGGGCCTGACGCTCGACCCGGGCCGGCACCTCGACGTCACGTTCCCCGAGTCGTACGACGAGATCGTCCTGGTGCGCGACATCCGCTTCACCAGCATGTGCGAGCATCACCTGCTGCCGTTCAGCGGCGTCGCGCACGTTGCCTACTTGCCCAACGGCCGCGTCACGGGCCTTAGCAAGCTGGCTCGCGTCGTCGAAGAGGTCTCGCGCCGCCCGCAGGTGCAAGAGCGGATGACGCAGACGATCGCCGACCTGATCGAATCCAAGCTCAACTCGAAGGGCGTCGCCGTCGTCGTCCAGGCCGAGCACTCCTGCATGTCGATCCGCGGGATCAAGAAGCACGGCGCAAGCACCGTCACCAGCGCCCTCCGCGGCGTCTTCAAGACCAACCAAGCGAGCCGCGCCGAGGTGATGACGCTGATCACGAAAGGCTGACGCCGAAAGGGGAAAGTGGAAAGGCGAAAGGGGAAAAGAATTAGGCTTCCCATAGCCTCTCAGCCGGCATCAATACGTTTCCCCTTTCCCCTTTTGCATCACAACTAGCAGCGAACATCCGAAGCCGCTCACCGTACGAAGCCCCCCGTGATTATTCAAAAGCAATACAAGTTCTACGCCGCGCATCGCAACGAGCAGCTCAAGGACAAGTGCCGCAACTTGCACGGGCACCGGTACGGGTTGGTGTGTCACTTTGAGGTCGAGCGCACCGGGGCGCTGTCGACGCTGTTCGGCGACTTCGACGCGAAGATCGAGCCGTACCTCAAGGAGCATTACGACCACGGCATGCTCATCAACCGCACCGACCCGCTCTACGAAACGCTGCAAGACCATGAGCGCCGCACGGGCGAGCGGTTCCGCTTCAAGGTGTTCGACGCCCCGACGACAGTCGAGAACCTGGCGTTCACCCTGTTCAGTGAAATCACCGAGATGGGCTTCCGATTGGCGCAACTCGAAGTGCGCGAGACCGACTCGTCTGTCATCACCTACACGCGCGAAGACTGGATCGCCGACAACCGGGATGCATCACGCCTGACCGGCGGGAAGAAGTCGGCTGTCACCGAGTAACCAAGTGCGAACAACGACTTGGCACGACGCCCAACAGATGCGGCAAGCCGCATGTGACATGAGGTTAATCGCAAGCTTCCCCGGCAAAATCAGTTGCCATGGCCAGCAAGGTCGGTAAACTGGGCAAACCTGCGCGAATAAAGCGATTCTTCGACGTGCATCAGATAAGTCGTACTTCCCGGAGTTCTTGATGGCTTTCGGTACTCTTTGTTCAGTGGTTCAAGGCTCCTTGAAGGGTCTCGTCCGAGCTCGCTTCGCCCTGTGCTCGCTGATTGCACTCCTGGGTTGCGTTGGCGTCGCGCAGGCTTCGGTGCAAATCATCAGCGCCCCGACCGACGTTCTGAACGGAGCCAGCGGCACTGGCGAATCGGACACCACAATTTTTGGCTTCCAAGAGCAGACCGGCATCCTCACCGACCAAGCCGTTAATCACTTGGTGAGTGGCACGCAAACCAACATTCCTGGTGGCCAATCGCCTGGGATCGTGACGGCGACTTTCGACTCCTGGTTCTTCCACTTTGATCCCGTCAGCGCGACTGGGGATGGTAATCCCGTCCGAAGCGCGACGGGCTCGATTACATTCACTCAAAACATTCTCGGTCTGATTTTTCTTAGCGCGGACTTAACAGCTACCGATGCGACCTTGGGCTTGTCTCCTACGACGACGTATCCTAACACTCCCGCAACCGGAAGTGCATCGCGGGGATTGGAGTTGAGTGGCGCCAATATCGATCGGCTCATTGCATCCGTTGGCAACGATCAACGGACGCTCGACTTTGACATCTTGCTGGCCAACAGCTCCGGCGTTGACCAAGTCCGAGTGCTTGTCGCTACCGGCGCGGGCGTCGTCCCCGAGGCGACTTCGCTAGTGGCTTGGTCGTTCCTCAGCCTCGGCGGAGTGCTCGGTCTACGGCCGGCTCGAAACGCTTGATCGGCATGCGACAGCTGCTGTTACCCAAGAATTTGGCCATCTGAAAATGCGAAAGCCGTCTAGATTCTCTAGACGGCTTTCTCTTTTGCGTCCGCTTGCCGAAGCGGCGAATCAACACGCCAGAGCGGCACAAGTCTGCCGCACTCCCATTTGAAGCAGTCGAAGATGTACAGTGCGTAGAATCGGCGTACCAACGCTTTCTAAAGAGCCTTAAGAGCGTCCCGAACTTCCACGACATAGTCGGGCCTCTCGGACGCGCGCTCGAGCGGACGTTTCCAGACAACTTGTCCCTTGTTGATCAGAGCCAGCCCGCCGAGCTGCAAGCCGTCGCCTTTCAGGACGCCGACACCGTGGCCTTTGAGCAGGCAAGCACTTGCGCCTCTTGAGAACTCTTGCCAACCGAGCAACTGACTGAGGCGGCCGCGGGGGATGCCCAGCTCTTTGTAGAGCTGCTGGTCGGGGTCGGCGACGTGCGTTGCGCTGCGGAGGTCGTAGCGCTCGGCGGACTCGATCGAGTTGTCACCGGCCCCCATGTGGACGATCGCCAACCGCGCGCCGGCGGCGTCGATCTCGGGCTCGACCGCTCTGAGGTCCGCCAGGGCTTCGCGGTGGAAAGTGCAACCGGCGTGGCGGAGCAGCACGACAAACACCGGCCGCTCTTGGGACAGCTCGGCGAGCGTTGCCCCTTCGGTCGAGGTGGGGAGCGAGGCGATTGCAGACGAAGATGGCTCGGACATCGGCTTATTTCCCCGTGGAAAGGACTGACCTACGTCAACTTACCAAAGCCTCGAGTCGATAATCGGGCGCCCATTCGCGCAGCTTCTCCATCGCCCGGTTGGCGAGCTGCCGAACGCGTTCCTTCGAGATGCCCATCCGCTGTCCGAGCCGGTTGTAGGAGGCCCGCTTGGCGCCGTCGCCGAGGCCAAAGCGGTGGGTGACGATGAACCGCTCGCGCTCGTCGAGGCGCTGAATCATCTGCACGAGAGACGAGTTGAGTACGCCCCACTCGGGTTCGCTGAGGTGCTGGGCGTCGCCGGGCTCGGCGCCGACGTCGTTGAGCAGCAGGTCCGCGCCGGTGCTGAACCGCTGTGAGTCTCGCCGCTGCGTCATCACGTGACGGCAGAGGTCGCGCCGCACGGCGCACGTCGCGTAGGTGCTGAATCGATAGCCGCGGTCGTAGTCGAACTTTTCGATGGCGTGCATCAGCGAAACGATGCCGTGGCTCAGGAGGTCGTCGAAGGAGTTCGAGCTGTTGGCGAACCGCCGGGCGATCGACATCACGAGTCGGGTGTTCGCCTGGATCAGGTGGTTCCGCAGCCGCGTCACACGCCGCAAGCAATCCTCGATCTCGGCGACCCGAGCCGCCGAGGGCGCCGTGCGGCCGAGCTTCGACCGCAACGCCTGCGCCCGGAACTTGCAATAGTTCATCCGGCGGAAGAGGTCACGTTCCTCCTCTGGGGTGAGCAGTCGCGTCGCAGACATGCGGCCGAGATGCGCTGGCAGACCCGCGGCGAGGGCTTCGGCAGGAGCGTCGCCACGCTCGACTTCGGCGGCTAGGCCAGTCGGCTCGTCGTTGGCCAAGCAAAAGCTGTCGTTGGGGATGTAATCGATCTCAACACGCCGGAGCTCTTCGACCCGGCGATCCAAAGCCGTCGGGCGGTTGGGACGCTTGCTTGAAGGGCCTTTCGGTTTGGTGGCCGCTTTGGCGGACTTCGCCTTGGTGACGGTGGCAGACGGGGCGCGGCGGACGGGAGGGTTGAGCGTTGCCATCGGGGATTTCCTGGCGGAAGAGAGCTTGGCAGTTCGCCCGCTGTCTTGCGGGCCTTAAAAATCGTCCAAATCGTTCACCTGAAACCCTATCGCCACTCCAGCCCCAGATCAAGCACAAAATCGGCCAAATCGTTCACTGCCTGGATCAGCTAGGCTAAAGTGAGGTGCAGTGAATTCCTGCCGACCTGGACAGCTACCCGTGCTTGGCCGGGGCGCTAGAGTCTTTCCAGACCTGCTTCGACGGTCGACTACCCGCGGTTACCACATGCAGGAACTCCTTAGCCCGAAACAAGTTGCGGCCTCGATCGGGGTCAGCGAATCGTCGTTGAAGCGTTGGTGCGACCAGGGCGTCATCACTACGGAGAAGACCCCGGGCGGCCACCGGCGAATCCGAATCCGCGAAGTCGTGCGGTTTCTACGGGAGCAGAGCCACCCGCTGGTGAGCCCCGAAGCGCTCGGCCTGCCCGTCGGGGCCGGCCGGCGCGTCGCGACCTTAGAGTCGTCCCGTGAGGCCCTCCTGGCCTCGCTGGAGGCCGGAGATCACGCCGCCACACGTCGGGTCGTCCTGGACCATTACTTGGCCGGAGAGGGCGTCCTGGGGCTCTGTGAGCGGCTTCTAGCCCCGACGCTGCACACCATCGGCGACCGCTGGGTGTGCGGTGCGACCGAGGTCTACCAGGAACGCCGTGCCTGCGAGTCGATCAACCGGGTGCTGTTCGAGCTGCGGTCGTACCTCCCCGCTCCCAGCCCCGACGCCCCGGCAGCGATGGGGGGCTCTCCGACCG